CTTTCAACCCTGCCACATGCCGCTGAGATTTCGCATGGGCACAGAAACTCCGTCGCAATCACTCACATCGAACTTGCGACGAGCTCGGAAATATACTGGGCGTCCTTTCGTGGCGGCCTCGAAAATTACAATTGGAGGCGCGAGGCCATCGGCCAGTCTATGTCTTGTGTGTAGCTAGACTTGTGCCCCAAGTCAGAGCTGTAGCAAGTGAAGAACGGACGACTGCAGCCCCGACGGATCGATGACGCCTCCAACGCCGCGAATTCAAGGATCAAAGTGGGCTTCTCACAGACATCGCGAGCAAGCGACAAAAACATCCCCAACGCTGGCTGGAGGCCTTGGGCAACCTGAGTCGCTTGGCGCTGCTGCTGCTCTTCTTCGCCCGGGCCTTGGAATCGGATTTTTGGGCCCACAACATCTCCGACGTGGAAGCGCCGATTGGGTAGCCAAGCCTGTCTCTTTTTGGACCGCCGAGGTGGCACTCGGCGCCGCAGTGCTGCGTTGCCCCCGGTTTGTTTCCACGTGCCTGGAGAGTTTCAGGGCTCGTCAAGGATGCTTAGGGCTCCAAACAGCGAACAACATGCAGGTTTGGGGTACCTACAAATCCCAACAAGGTGCGGAACTCCCGGTAACCGTGGGCTTGAACGGAAGACCGCGAGCACCAGTTCCTACCTGCCTTCAGTCGGACCCGGGCTGGCTACCGGGTTACGTCACAATTGCAACTGAATGCAACTGCATGCAACTGCAATCCCTTGGGAGGAGTTCGGGATTTCACTCTGAGGGCTGCTTGTCCGGAATGTGTTAGGTTGCTAACTCTGGCGACTGTGCCTACGGCTCAGGCGGCAGGTGAGATCTCGACCTTCGGAATGCATGGAGCTGATAGTCCTCGTCTATGAGAAGCTCGATGCCGTTTGGGTGCTCCCGGCCATTGACATCAGCTTTCAAACGTGTCTCCGTGTCTCTCGAAGATGACGAGTCATGTTTGGACCTGCACCCCGTGCATGCAAGCCTTGCACCGGCCTCTTCTGTCGGCCGCATGAAGAGATCTGATGGCCAGAACCACTCCAGCTTGACAGGAGCGCGTCCTCACCTTCCAGCAGCTGAGGCCTCAGAGTCTCAGAACACTGCAACGAATGCAGGACTTAGACTTGGGGAGGAGCTGTGCGTGTTGGGGATGTAGTTTTCAGAGCGGTCTTGGCGATGCTTCAGGCGTCATCGAGAGTTCTGGACGAGCCGAGACGAGGCACCATTCACTGGAGAGACATTCCTGCCAACCTACACAGAAGTCTCGCGTAAAGTGACTCCAGATACCAAGTTCCCTGAGAATCCGCGGGAAGATCACAGTAAGGCTTTGTGAAATTCGTGGCGAGGCATATGTTCAGGAGGTTTGGTGCCCGTCCAACATCCCCTGGGCTCGCTGCTCAGCGTGATTTGACCTTGAGAGCATAGCTGTCATAGGCCGAAGAATGAGCGGGAAGTCTGAAAAGGGGTTATTCTGCCTTTGAGGCCGGAGAGATGTCGCAGGCATCAGACTGCGGTGAAGAAACGGCCCCTGGCTTGGAGAGCTGCACTTAGTGCAGGTTGTAAAGATGGAAACGCCACCGAGGCCAGGTGGAGTCATTCGCGCAGAGGGGTCCTTCCTCCCTTGTCCTGCAGGACTCTACCTTTTGTCGTGCTCGACCGGCTCAACTCGATTCAAGTTCCGCGGGCGAGCCCAAGCCTCGGGCTTTGGGGACGAGCGACGGATGAGGCAGAGGCAGAGGTCTGTGACGGCCATTGCTCTGAGGCTGCCCGATTTCGGCGACGCAGTGCAAAGGCAGGTCCTGTCGGAGTGATGGTATTCGGGTTTACTGACCAATCAGCATCAAGCTGGGCGTTCCAGAGCTCAGCTGCAAATGAGAATGCCAGAAAGCATTGTTTCGCAGGAGCGGCGCGCGTCTGTTTCTCTGCTGCCGGCTCCGTGGCAGATGCCCTTGGCCCCTTGGCTCAAAACGTTGAGTCGCTGTGGGTCTGTGCAGCTTGGCTGGCTTGAGGTGGCACGATTCGGACCGCATTTGGCAGCCTCCGCCACTTGGCGATTTCTACGGCCATGTCTTGCGCAGGCAACCTGTCGGGGGACTCTTCCTCATCCTGTAGTTTGAAGACTATGCAGGCTTGCTGAGCCATGCAGGCAGTTTGGTGTCTGCCTTTGAGTGCTCCCCGCCGACACTTTCCAGGCCTGAGTAAGTGGGGGAGAGGTCTGATGCCACTTGCATCTCGATCTCCCATCCCCTTTCATCTGTGGCTACCGTGCCCAGATCGCAGATGTGGGAAGATCAGGCCGTCACGAAGGCGGGGTCGCGGGAAGCTGAGGGGTGACTTCAAAGACCGGTCTGTGCCATGCTTGAGAGTTGAAGTGCAGTGCACTCGCAACAGAATCGATGAACTCTTGGCGAACATGCGATTATGGCACTGGACTGGTGCCTACACTGCGCAGGAACATTGCGCAGCAGCAGCGAAGCGTCGCTGGCGAAGTGGAGACACCCAGATGCCGACGCTGCAGGCTGACCCCGGCCAGCCTGAGTCAATTATTTGCCCGAACGGCAACCTGGAGTGTTTGTCCACGAAACAGAACCGCAAGTCGCCACTATTGGAGGCCGCCTTTGGCGCAGCAGAATTCTTCTTGCATGACCTCGGAACATCGTGCTTCTAGACCTTGTGTATACGAAGATGAGCTCATGGGTCAGCAGCCTCTCACCACCATGCAGATCTCAGCAGAACAGTCCAGGCCTGGGTGATCATTTAGGTCTTAGAGGGAACAGGCCGTCGTCCCAGTGACGGAGCTGGAACAAGTTGAGAAGTCAAACTCACATTGAATGTAGAGGAACAGCTGGCCTGGATGATGCCCCGCAACGCGGTACACAAAGAGAACGAAAGGGCCGCTCGAGAAAACCGTCGCCACGCAATCGGAGGCTCGTGTGTTCCGGAGCTTCAACAGCAGACCGCTGAGACGAGCACCGGGCGTCCGGCCGAAGACGTTTCGACAAATGAGAAGAGCGGAGTCGTTGCGGTACTTGTAACGTCCTTTGGAACAAAAAGCCAGATCCGGGGGCAAGCTCGTCAAGGTGAATTGCCCAGTGGTCCGTGATGAGTTGCTGGAATCTGGTAGTCGATGTAGCAAAGCCTTCCGATGGCTCGATGATGCTGTCACTCCCGAGGTGTTTCGCCGTACAGTTGGTGAAACAGGGTTTGAGCTTCCGTGGACAAGGGAAGGGGTCGTCCTTGTACTGACCGTAGCAGTCTTCGTGAGCATGTCGTACTACATACCAGTTTCAATAACAACACTATTTCTTTCAGTGTGTTTGAGGTGGCCTGGGCTGTTCCAGCAGAACTATTCGCACAGGTTTTGCCAGTTTGTTTCGAAAACCTGCTAGGCAAGGTGCCTGTTCGAAATTGCCACAGATCCCTCGTGTATTCCCAATTTTCTATTGTTTGGGATATCGCATGCCTTGGTTCTCCCCCTGCATCATCCCAGTTCCTTTGGACAGGCCTTGCGCCAAACATGCCTCACAGCGGCTTTCCAGCGCACACAATTGCGTGAGGATGATCGGTTGTCACGGCGGTCCAGGAAGTAGCAGGGGCACATCGGCTGATGGTTCAATGCTCTGTTGCCGTGCTAAGCAGCTTTGACGTTAGCAGCTCCATTCTTTGCGTGATAGGATGAGGACAACGGGTGTGACACAGGGAAGTTAAGCCTCGCTGGGAAAGAGGTGTGGATGGTATGGTCAGGTGTCGGAAAAACAAGGCAAAGGCATGGGTGGGAGGCAATATCGCATGTTGAGAAGAGCCTTTGTGCCCCGGAGCCCTGGAACTTCGGGGAGTCGTCGTGCACTGAGGCGCCCGAACATTCTGTTTTGTTCTGTGTCGGCCGGTGGGAAACCTCCGTAGATTTTGGTTTTCTTCATCTTGGAAAGTCCTTCCTTACCTTGCCCACCGGTGCAGGAGAAGGAAGCTGCCCTGACAGGTGTGTCTGGGAGTATCCCAAAGGCGGCATCAGAAGGATTAGATCGGATTTAGACGATCTTGCTTGATGGTCTTGCCTGACTCATGCAAGACATAGGTTGGTGGCGAGCAAGCAGTCTCGAAAGGTGCGCAAGCTTTAACAACAACTTGGCCGAGCTCCCTCTGCAGTCAGTGGATAGCAGGCAGCTGATTTCCTGCGTTCGTACACAGCAAATTCGTCGGAATTTACTGTAGCCTGCTGCAGCATCCTGCAGTGTAAGCATTGAGGCGTGCAACGGTTTGCTGTTGTTGAAGGAGTGGGTGTAGCTGCATAGTGCACTTTCTGTACACATCAGTTCAGGCATCTGCATGGAACGACCGAACTACTAGATTGATGGGAGCAGAGTTGCTTTGCTAAGGCGAGAAACGAAGCCTGAGCCAACACTGATGCGTCCGATGCTAACAAACCCTGGCCTTGTGGCTGTTATCCTCGGACGAGGGCGCCAAGCAAGAGCAGACTACCATTTCCAATCGGTCATAGCTAGAATATGCGCAATCTCAATGGCAGTGAGCTCTCCGAGCAGTGCTCTCAAATGCTCGCAATGTGGGGGCACAGTAGGGCGTTCCGTGTCTCGTTCCTTTGCGGAAATTCGTGCAGCCGCACCGTGTCCAGTTGGGCCTACATGAGCTGCGGCAAACGAGACAGAAAAGCTTTTCACCGAACATGGCAGTGGTACTGTGATTCCAGCTTACAACGATCGATCTATCCTGGCTCAAGGGCGTCTGGCCCGAACAAGGCTGAAGTGCAACATGGTTGCTGGCATTCAGGGGTTTGGAGCTTAGGCATACGGTCCCGTGCAATAGTGGAATACTCATGGAATTCCATAGTTTTCTTTTCTTTTCAAGCCACTTCCAACACCGGTGTCAAAAGGTTTATGTCGCCTCTGCCATCATGTGACACTTGCAGCAAACCATCTTCCAAACTCACTTTTGTCTTAGTGGTCGACACGCGGTGAGCCATGTGCAGCGTTCAGGTCTGATGCCATGTTAACATGGGCATCGAAAACAGCTTTTGCCAGCTAAGCAGGTTTCGGCCCGCTCGCTCACTGCTCTCGCCCGGACCACAACCCCCTGCTAGCATCTTGGAAGCTGTGGCAGCGGCGGCTGTGGATGGATTCCTGGGCTGTGCTCTGAGCACCAGGTTGCTTCGCGACCCCTTTGAAAGAAGCGAGGAGAGGAATGAAGTGCACTGTCTGAAGCGGATTTCGGGTTTCAAGCAGCTCGTCGCACAGCCAGGTACAAGCTCTTCCCTACCCTGGATTTCCTGGCATACCTAAAGAGGAGCTCACGGCCCAGAATATGTAATTCTTGGCAATCCGCGGCATGCCTTCGTCTCACGGCAGGATACATGTCGCATACCATCCTGGTCGAGAGCGGACGGAGGTGGCGAGGCAGCGACGCTTTCCATGTGAGTCTCTGTGCGTGGAGTCCAGCTCAAGCTGTGGTGCCTTTGCAGGCGGCTGATTCTTCACATGACTGCAGAGCGCGGCTCCTAGCAGGGCAGTACTCCTTGTCTTCCCGCAAGATGGTTTTCTTTTATGCTCTGTAGGTGGTGGAGTATTGTAAGTGTAACCTCGCAGTACGAAGCGACACTGCGTGATTTCGCTTAACAGGTTTGTTCTGGAAGACAAGGTTTCAAACGAGACAGGTAATTGCTTTGGGAGGTTCCGGGCCCCAGATTTCCTCGCAAAAAGAGGCCATGGATGTGCACCCAGCTCAATTCATTCAATCTTTCGTATGCTGGCGTTTGGCTGTGCTGCTCCGATGCTATGTGTGTCAATCGATACAGTCTGCAGGAGTACGAAGAAGAAATTCCCGAACTTGCAGGTGCGCGAGGGAGTACCAGTCGTGATCAATCCTGCAATTTCATCCGAGTTCTCTGGCAAGCTACCGCAACAAGTGCCACTGCACGGGCTGGAACTGCAACTGAACATGCTCGCTGTAATGCCTCACGAAGCTGAGTTCTGCGACAGCATGAACTCACGAGCTACTCAAGTTACTCAAGCAGTGGCCAACAGACTTCCAGCATGTTCGAATCTGTCACAGGGAAAAAAATGGCAAGGTGCGGTTCAGGACGCTCCTTGTGCCATGACGAGGCGGCTTTGCAGAAACGAAGAGACGAATCACTAAAGCCTTCCACCAGTGCCCGAACCCGAGCTGCGCGAAAACTCGCGACGCGCCGACGCCCCGCATACCTGGGTGGAGCAAACAGATTAGACATGGTAGGAAAGCCCTTAGGCTCTGTGTAGACTTTGAGCTCTGCTGCCGTGCTGGCAATCCTTTGGGAGAAACGGCACCCTGAGAAGGCCAGCTGGGAACTACTCGGTCTGACACTCAGCTCCCTATTTCAGCAGCACGGACCACCGGTATTGCAACCTTAAATCCGAAGCCCCTAAACCCTCAAACCCCTACAGCCTCAATCTCTAAACCCTAAAGCCTGGACTTCGGCCCTAAACATCGGCCCTAAACCCTAAACCCAAAGCATCCCAAAACCATGAACCCCACTCCGAACCCTCGGCCCCGAGGCTACGATGCTCCTGCTGTTGTAGATGTCGAGCTTGTTGACGGCCGTAAGAAGCGCTTCTTGGCCGACGCCTTGGAACTCGCATAAGGGTTTGAGGGTTTAGGGCTGGTTCTGGCCACTTTGGATTGACTCCGCTTGGTATGACATTCGAACTCCAGGCCGAACACTACAGTCGACAAGAGATGCAGGACGATCCGACATGAATGCTCCTGGAGGTCTGCGTTCCCAGAATCTTTTGTCAGGACATCATAGACACCTGGCAGTACGAAGCTCACCTACAGCACATGAAGGTCTCACTTTGGGTGTGTGTGCCACCTGTAGAGCTGTGTGTGTTCTTGGCACGATCAGGCAGGTAGTACCTAAAAGGCTGTTTCGTCACTGATGTGGCTGCCAGGAGCACAGCCTTGAAAAGGCAGACGATGACGAATAAGACTTGCAAGAGATCAAATTGGCGTCTCTTTTGTGGAGGACTGATGGAGCTGCGTGATGCTAACCTGTTCAATCAGACATGTGATTGATAAACCACGTGCAAGATATTTCCAAATTCATCAGATGGCCCGTCCACCTCGGAAAGCTTCTTGTCCGGCTGAAATTCATCGGATGGGTCGAATCAGTATGAGACTACGAAGAAGAGATGGTATCAACAGTACTGAGTCGACACCCTAGAACCGTACATGTCCCAACAATGTCCTTGAGGCTGCATCACTTGTTCATGAATCTCCAACTTTCATCATACTTCGGCGGGAATACGATTGGGACCCTTGCATAACCACGATACTGCGGCGAGAATACGATTTCGGCAGATAAAAATATAGGGACTATGGCGAGCTCGAAAATTACCTCAATATTCGATATATTATTGCTTTCTCATTTTCATTCAAGATATTCTTCTACTGATAACATTTGCGAGCTTCTACTCGTGAACTCAATATTTCCTCGAATTAAGATAGATGAATTTATATATAGAATATTTAATATTTTTACTATATTAGCAGAGATAGGGCTACATACATATATATACATATAAGATATATATATATATGTATATAT